CTAGGCGACAAGCTGCAGCAAAGTCAACAAGCTCAGTAACAAGAGCAGACGCAGCAGTGGACTCAAACAAAGGGTCAGTGACAGCAGTGGCCAGAAAGCGCGTGACAGCTGGACTAGCAGCACGGAGGAAGTCAGACGCAGGGTCCGGACCAGCAGGAAGAGAGGACGCAGGAGGAGACGGCAGAGGGATACGCTGTGGAGCAGTGGAAGGACGCAGAGTCATAGAGTGAGTGCCAGGGACAGGAGGAGGACGCGGACGCGAAACACGACCAGCGCGAACAGTACGGACAGGCGACGCAGGACGAGACTCAGGCGACACAGGACGCGACTCAGGCTCACGACGCTCTGTAAGACCTCTAGTCGGTCCAGAGTAAGGAGAAGGACCAGGCAGTGGAGAGGCCTGCTGTAACTGCGACTGGGACTGGACAGGCGGTGGACTTAGGAGGAGGACCAGAAGAAGGCGGGGAACCAAGAACCTGCTGAAGGAGTGGAACGTAGTACGGCCGCGGCCGCGCAGCGCCTCCAGAAACAGTAGAGACAGAACCGGTACCATCAGCCCCAGGGACTCCAGTCCCAGCAGCACCTCCAGTCCCAGCAGCACCTCCAACCGCTCCAGCAGCTCCAGCACTAGCAGCACCTCCAGCACCAGCAGCACCGCCAGCAGCTCCAGCAGTACCTCCAGCAGCTCCAGCACCAGTAGCACCTCCAGCACCAGCAGCACCTCCAGCAGCTCCAGCACCACCTCCAGCAGCTCCAGCAGCACAAGCACCAGCAGCACCTCCAGCACCAGTAGCACCTCCAGCAGCTCTAGCACCAGCAGCACCTCCAGCAGCTCCAGCAGTAGCAGCACCTCGACAGCGCCGAGAGTACCACTCACGAAGCTGCTGTGGAGAGAGGGGCTCCCGCCGCGACGGGACACCTAGAGCACCTCCAGACTCAGCACGCGCAGGCTCAGCACCTCCAGACGCAGTACCCTCAGGCTCCACACGCCCAGGCTCAGCGCCCCCAGGCTCAACATGCCTAGACTCAGCACCCCCTGACTCAGCACCCCTAGGCTCCACACGCTCAAGCTCAGCACCCCCAGTCCCCGCACCCCCAGTCCCCGCACCCGCACAGGGTCTACCTGGGACACACCTGAGGGGGCAGGACCCTGGGGGGGAGGGGGTCTACCAGGGGAGTACCTGGTGCGAGGAAGAGCGGCGGGGGGGGGAGAGAGGCAGTGCGGTAGGGAAAGAGACGGTAGTACGACACCGACTCGTCGAACGTGACGTCCTGAGAGGACAGAACACGACGCGAGGTGGGGTGGTAGAACTGCCACCCGGGTGCGTCAGGAGGGAAGCCAAGGAAGACACATGGAACGGCACGGGAGGACAGCTTGTCCGCAGTAGTATCGCGGACAAAAGCTCGAGATCCCCAGACACGAAACGCGGACGCATCGCCAACCTTCCCCGTCCACCGCAGAGTAGGTGTGGTCTCCGGCAAGGAGACACGAGGCTGAAGGTTGATCTGATGCGCCGCGTACTGAACCGAGAACGGCCACAGAAAATGGGGAGCAGCCGCATGGATCATGGACGTACGAGCGACGTCCATGACCATGCCAATGCGGCGCTCAGCAATCCCATTTTGCTGCGGGGAGGCCGGAAGCGTGAACGTCTGGCGGATGCCCTCCGAACGACAAAAGGCCCTCAGGAGGTCGGAGGAAAACTCACCACCTCTGTCTGAGTGCAGACGCAGAACAGGGAGGTTCGAGCCGAAACTCTCGCTGAGTTGGCGACGAGCACCGCGGATCCAGTTGATCAACACCTCAGGGACCTCACCCTTGCTGCGCAAGGGGAAGACTGTGGTGTAACGCGAGTAGTCGTCAACGACCAGCAGAAAGTAACGCTCATGACCCTGTCCACGGACGCGGGTTGGGCCCCACACGTCCATGTGAAGAGTCTGCAGAGGAGCCTCAGTCGGAGGGAACGTGGAGGAGTGAGGAGCGGTGCACTGCCGGCCCTCGACACAAGGAACACAGGTAGGGGCAGGCCCCGGAGGAAGGGGAGGGAGGGACTGGGGTAGACCCGAGACAAGGGTACGGGAGGCCATACCTCGAAGACGAGGCAGGGAGGGGTGACCAAGGTGGTGGTGCCAAAGGAGAGTCTCGTGCGACACGAGCAAGGGGCAGACCCAGGACTAGACCTGGACGCGGCAGCAAACACCTGACTAGACGCAGCTACCTGACTAGACGCAGAGACCGGAGGAGGCGCAGTAGTCAGTGTGTACAGACTCGACCTTGGCCGACGAGTGAACGTGGCCAGGTGGCGGCTTGTCCGAGAGCAAGTGCAGTGGGTCACACGCTGACCTCCAGGGGCGAACTGGTCAACCCACGCATCCTGGAGGTCAGCTCCACTCACCAGGTTCGTAGAGAACGAAGGGAGGTGGAGTCCCGACAGCAAGCCCGACGGGGCCGCAGGACACGGTAGAACCGTGGAAGAGTGCGCAGGACTGGGCCCCCAGAGGGGTCAGCAAGGGAGACTGCTACAGGCCGACTGAGCGGCGTGAGTGTGGTGCTGTCTCTAACGAAAGAGCGTGGAGCACGAAAGTCAAGTGTGAAGGTGTGCAAGGCCTCAGTAGGTGCAATACCAGAGAGAGCAGACTCACCAGCACCTGGAGCAGCAGACTCACAAGTACCTGGAGCAGCAAACGCACTAGCACCTAGAGCAGTAGCCGCAATGCCCGGGTCAGGCGGGACACTCAGGTAACAGTCACCCTCAGCACTATCAGTCAAAGCATACATGGCAGCAAGGATAACATCGAAATCAAGATCAAAGATAGGCACATTCTGCATAAGCAGATCATGCCTGCGAGGGAGCTCAACATCGTCAGGAAACTGGGCACGCCAGGCGTCAGTCAAGCGACCGAAGCAGCCCTGCGTAGTGTGTGGCAGCCCACACGCCTCCCCACGACGACTGCCGGTGCGAAGAACGTAAGTGCAGGGACCAGCACCCCCAGACCTCTCACGCCCAGCGTACCACTCACGAAGCTGCTGGGCCGACGGGGTCTCACGGGAGCGCGGCTGCTGCTGGCTCTGGCTACCACCAAAGCCTCCACGCAGCGCAGCTGCACCTCGACCAGCACCACCGCCGCCGCCACCTCCACCACCGCTGCCGCTGCCTCCACCACCGCTGCCGCTGCCTCCACCTCCTCCGCCGCTGCCTCCACCACCTTCACCGCCGCCACTGAAGCCCCCACTTCCGGTACCACCCCCACCTCCACCGCCACCCCCTCCGCCTCCTCCACCGCCTCCACCGCTGCCCCCGCCGCCCCCTCCACCACCCTTGCTCCCCTTGCCCTTGCTGTTGTGGCGCCTCCCACTAGGGGCAGACGCAGCTCCGACCTCCTCAGTGCCAACGAGGTCGACAGCAGCAGCAGAAGCAACAGAGGGGAGAAGGGGGACAGGGGAACACCCCTCAAAGAAAGGGGTGCGACGGTCGCCGCGAGAAGCACCTACAGCTAAGATACTCTTCTCAGCTGCAGCAAGGCGCTCCTCTAGCAGGTCGACAGTCAGCTCGGTGGGGCAAAGGGAGAGAAAGTGGTCCCTGACTGAAGAAAGGGAGTCAGGGAGGCGGGTGACTAGGTAGTAAAGGGTGATGTACATGGGGGGGGGTTTCTTGGCACAGAACTCAGTGGGAAGGGCAGCGCGGTAGCGGGCGTCACTAGTGCGGAGGTGAGCAACGAGGTCAGCGACTGTGGCAAAGGCGGCAAGGTCAGGGAAAAGGTACGGCAGCATGAGGCGGCTGAGGGCAGCAGTGGCAGGGGAGGAGTAGCGCGCAACAGCGTCGTACAAAGACTGAGCAGTCTTGTACTGGCCAAAATGCGCGCGCTCAGCAGGTGGCAGGTGACTACGAACAGCAAGACGAGCAACAGCGTCACGAGTGGTCCACTGCGAGCGAGCCATACTGTCAGCAGTGGCAGTAGGAGCAGTAGAGACACCGGACGTGTGATCGAAAAGGGATACCCCATCTCTAGAGTCACAACGAAGAAAGAGCTGCAGGTCGTCAACCCACACGTCAAAGTCAACTGCACGTCCCTCAGCATCAAAGGTGAGAACAGTAGGGCTAGCCATAGCAGCAGTGGGAGCAGTAGCAGCAGTAGCAGCAGTAGCAGTAGTAGCAGCAGTTGCAGCAGAGGCAGTAGGGCAGTGCAGGGCAGTGCGGCTCAGTAGGGCGGCGCGGCTCGGTAGGGCGGCGCGGCTCGGCAGACCGGCGCGGCTCAGTGGGCAGCGCGGCTCGGCTGGGCGGCGGGGCTCGGCTGGGCGCGTCAGCAGGGGCCGTGTCAGCAGGGCCGGGCCGTGACAGCAAGGGCCGCGCCAGTAGGGGTGGCGACGGCAGGGGGCCGCGACTGCAGGGGGCCACGTCAGCAGTGGGGCCTCGTCAGCAGGGGCTGCGCCAGTAGGGGCCGCGCCAGCAGGGGGCCGCTTCAGCAGAGGCCGCGTCAGCAGGGGGCCGCGTCAGCAGGGGGCCGCGTCAGCAGTGGGGCCGCGTCAGCAGGGGGCCGCGCCAGTAGGGGCCGCGACAGGCAGTAGGGGTCGCGTCCAGCAGGGGCCGTGACGGGCGACAAAGGGGCCACGACGGGCAGGGCGCGATGCGCGCTTCGGGCAGGGCAGGAAAAAAAAAGTTGTGGTGGGCCCTTAAAAAAACGTTCCCACTAGGGAACCTGCTCAGAATACCACCGGTGGGGAAAACGCGGAAGGAGGGCCTCGGAGAAGGCGTGGACAAGGTCAGCGAGGATCGGCAACGCCAAGAGGAGGACGCCGACGGGAGTCACGGCACCACCGCTGGAGCCGACGAGGCTGATTCCGCACAGGCGGATGGGACGGCGGACCAGGGCAAGGCGAAGGCCGACGGGTCGGAGGGCGCACGAGAAGAGCAGCGAGAGGAACCACGCGACCGTCAGGAGGGAGATCCCTTGTCTGATCCGCGTCAGCAGGACCGAGGAGAGTGGAACGCGGAATCGAGCATGTCCGCGCAACAAGGATGGCGCAGAGGAAAGCGAGAAGAACGGTCGCGCATACCGGAAAAGCATCGGCAGCACGGAGCAAGGCGAGGCGATGGATCGCGCTCGCCCGATCCGCATCCGCGACATGAAGGGTGGCGCGGCGGCGGGGAGCGCTCGCCCGATCCGCATCCGCGACGTGAAGGGTGGCGCGGCGGCGGGGAGCGCTTGTCCGATCCGCATCCGCGACGTGAAGGGTGGCACGGCGGCGGGGAGCGCTTGTCCGATCCGCATCCGCGACGTGAAGGGTGGCACGGCGGCGGGGAGCGCTTGCCCAAACTCCACCAGAGGCATGAAGGATGGCGTGATGTCGGGTCCCGCTCGCCATATCTGCATAGGCAGCGGGAAGGAAGACGTGAGGAGGAGTGACACTCGCCGTACGGTCGTCGGCAGCATGGAGGAAGGTGGGATGAGTGGTCACCATCGCCAGAGAAGCATTGGCGCGAGACTCGGCGGAAAGAATGGGCGAGGGCGCACTACTCGCCAGATCGGCAAGGGCGACGCACGGGAGGGCAGACGAGCCTGAGGAACCTGCGAAAGGAGGCGGGATGGGACCAGCATGGAAGCAGAGGCGGAGGAGGGAGTCTGGGGTACAGTGCGGAACGAGCCAGGGAGGCCAGGGAAGGAATTGAGAGAGCTAAGGAAAGAGGGACATACGGGAGGAAGGCAAGAACAGCAAGCGAATCTTGGGGAGAAGGCCGAAGAAGTGCAACAGCGGCATCCCTAGTGGAGGTGCCGGCAAGGTTCTCAGGGGACCAACGCACGGGGCCTGTCAAACATATATGATATAGCCTGTGTAGGCTGTAGTGGGGTAGACACTATGGGGTACAACTTTTATAGGTTTTCATACTTGTACCCATCTCCTTTCTAGTCGACATCATTTCCTCGTACATTTCTCACATGGTATAGAGCGGGTTCCCTAGTGGGACCGTTTTTTTAGGGCCCACCACATAATATTTTTTTTTTCTGCCCTGCCCGAAGCATGCTCCTTGCCCTGTCGCGCGCCTCGCGCCTGCCTTACCTTCGCCCCGTGCGCCAGCCCTGCCGTCACGGCCCTGACTAGAGCCGTCGCGGCCCTGCCGTCGCGGCCCCTGCCGACGCACCCCCCCGTGCCGTCGCGGCCCCTACCGTCGCGGCCCCTGCCGTCGCGGCCCCTGCTGTCGCGGCCCCTGCAGTCCCGGCCCCTGCCGTCGCGGCCCCTGCCGTCGCGGCCCCTGCCGTTGAGGCCCCTGCCGTCGCGGCCCTGCCTGATCCCGTCACGGCCCTGCCGCCCTGCTGACGCGGCTTCGCCGCCCTCCAGTCACGGCTCTGACTTCCACCGTCCGGCCCTGCCCTGCCGTCGCGGCCCTGCCGTCCTGCCGTCGCGACCCTGCCTCCCTGCCGTAGCGGCCCTGCCTGGAGCCGTCGCGGCCCTGCTGCCCTGCTGTCGCGGCCCCGCCTGAAGCTGTCGCGGCCCTGCTTGGCCGCTGTCGCGGCCCTGCCTGCAGCTGCTGCGGCCCTTCCTACAGCCACAGTCGCGGCCCTGCCTACTGCCGCTGTTGCGGCCCTGCCTACTGCCGCTGATGGCGGCCCTACCCTGGTAAGCGCACCGCCGCACCCGCGCCGCCCTTGCGAGCCGCGCCGCCCTGCCAAGTCGCGCTGCTCCTGCTACTACTGCTGCTGCTAGGCTACTGCTGCTGCTCCTGCTGTCATGGCTAGCCCTAATGTCCTTACCTTCGATGCTGAGGGTCGAGCGGTCGATTTTGAGGTCTGGGTCGATGATCTGCAGCTTTTTCTGCAGTGTGACTCTAAGGACGGAGTCTCACTATTTGACCACACGTCCGGCGTCGCTGTTGCCCCTGCTGCCGATGTCGACAGTACAGTTTGCTCATAGTGGACCACACGCGATGCTGCTGCTCGTCTAGCTGTCCGTAGTCACCTGCCGTCTGCTGAGAGGTGCGCACTTTAGCCAGTACAAGACCGCTAGGACTCTGTATGACGCTGCTGTTGCGCGCTACTCCTCCCCTGCCACTGCTGCCCTTAGCCACCTCATGCTGCCGTACCTGTTCCCTGACCTAGCTGCTTTTGCCACGGTCGCTGACCTCATCACGCACCTTCGCAGTGGTGACACCCGCTACCGCACTGCGCTTCCTGCCGAGTTCTGCGCCGCGAACCCCCCCCCTTATGTACATCACTCTCTACTACCTCGTCACCCGGCTCCCTGACTCCCTTCGCTCGGTCAGGGACCACTTTCTCTCCCTTTGCCCCACCACGCTCACCGTTGACCTCCTCGAGGAGCGCCTACTTGCAACAGAGAAGAGTATAGTCGCTGTAGGAGCCTCTCGTGGTGACCCCCGTGCCCCTTTCTTTGAGGGGTGCTCCACCGTCCCTCTTTTGCCCTCTGTTGCCTCTGCTGCTGTTGTCGACCTCATTGGCACCGAGTCGGTCGGAGCTGCGTCTGCTCATAGTGGGAGGCGCCGCAGCGGCAGGAGCAAGGGGGGCAAGGGTGCTGGAGGGGATGACGGAGGCGGCGGTGGTGGCAGTGGAGGCGGTGGAGGGGGTGGGGGTGGAGGTAGGGGTGGTGGCGGGAGTGGGGGCTTCGGTAGCGGTGGTGGAGGTGGAGGCGGCGGAGGCAGCGGCAGTGGGGGTGGAGGTGGCGGCGGCGGCGGCGGAGGTGGTGGGGTTGGCGGCGGCGGTGGTGCTGGTCGGGGTGGCGCTGTACAGCGGGGAGGCTTTGGCGGTGGCCAGTGCCAGCAGCAGCAGCGCCCTCATGAGACCCTGTCGCCCCAGCAGCTTCGTGGGTGGTACGCTGGGCGTGGGAGGTCTGGGGGTGCTGGTCCCTGCGCTTACGTTCTCCGCACCGGCGACCGCAGTGGAGAGACGTGCGGCGGCCCGCACAGCACGCTCCGCTGTTTCGGCCGCTTGACTGACGCCTGGCGTACACAGTTTCCTGACGCCACTGAGATCCCTCGCTGGGGTGATCTGCTTAAGTCGGGGGTTGCTATCTTTGATCTTGATTATGATGCTATCCTTCCTGCTATGTATGCTGTGTCTATTAGTGCTGAGGGTGACTGTTACCTGTGTGTTCCGCCCGACCCGGGCATTGAGGCTACTGCTCTAGGTGCTAGTGAGTCTGCTGCTCCAGGTGCTGGTGAGGCTGCTCTCTCAGGTACCGCGTCGGCTCAGGTCTTGCACACTTTCACCCTTGACTCGGGTGCTTCACGCTCCTTCTTTCGCGACTGCACCACACTCTCGCCGCTCAGTCGGCCCGTGGCAGTCTCTCTGGCTGACCCCTCTGGGGGTCCGGTCCTTGCACACTCCTCCATGGTTTTGCCGTGTCCGGCGGTCCCGTCTGGCTCTTTTTCTGGCCTCCACCTCCCCTCGTTCTCCACGAACTTGGTGAGTGGAGCTGGCCTTCAGGATGCGTGGGTTGACCAGTTCACTCCTGGAGGTCAGCGGGTGACCCACTGTTCGTGTACTCGGACGGGCCGGCACCTGGCCACGTTCACTCGTCAGCCTGGGTCGAGCCTGTACACCCTGACTACCGTGCCTCCTCCGGTTGCTGAGTCTGGTCAGGTAACCGCGTCGGGTCAGGTGTTTGCTGCAGCGTCCCGGTCTGGTCCTGAGTCTGCCCCCTGCTCGTGTCGCCTCCTGTCTCACCAGACTCTCCTCTGGCACTGTTATAGTCACAATAGGCTTGAATGTGCCTAAAACGAAAGATAGAGAGCACAGACGGATTTCTGCACAGCGGCTTCAAACGTTGATAGCGTTCTGCTCACAGCTGCAAATGACTTGATTCAACTTGGATCTGGAGCGTCTTCACGTCGTCTACAATTAGCAATTTAGACTGCACGATTTGATAAAGAATTGACGACACAGCGTCGGTTTGAACGAACGGTACTATGGCAGCCACTATAGTCTTAGAACACAAGATAGGAAGAGTTACGAGTTGGGAATGACTCCCAGCTCCTACAAACCCCAAGAGCCGAGGTACAGTGATTTGGAACAGTGCCACACTGTCCCCAACCACGAAGGGTCTCGAAACTACCCTTCACTAGGGCCTACACCAAGTGAAATGTTACACTACACAAAGTAATGTAACTATCTTCAATATCTTGAGGTGTACCCTTTTGGCGAGCTTCGAAATCACTTGAGGCTTGACACCAAGGCTCGGGCTCTTCATCACAAACTCATCCTTGAGTTCTTGATGGGTCTTCTGCACACACCTGCGACACGCCGAACGTTCGACACAGGACAAAATAGAAACCGCGCACGACAAAATAGAAACCGCGCGCGAGACACAAACGACCGCGTAACACGCGTCTAGCGATAACTCGCTATTGACTCGACACACACACTCGACATCATGACTCAACATTCACACACAATTATAAGCATGAAATATATATTATCCCATGCCCTCATACCATTCCACACACACACACATTCACGCACACGGACAACAAGCCGAGTGCAAACCGTAGGGTTGCACCAACAGGCACCACCGCCTTGGTCACCCCTCCCTGCCTCGTCTCCGAGGCATGGCCTCCCGTGTCCTTGTCACTGGTCTTCCCCGGTCTCTCCCTCCCCTCCCCCCGGAGCCTGCCCCTACCTGCGTTCCTTGCATCGAGGGGCGGCAGCGCGCCGCTCCTCACTCCTCCGAGTTCCCTCCGACGGAGGCTCCCCTGCAGACTCTTCACATGGACGTGTGGGGCCCCGCCCGCGTCCGTGGACAGGGTCACGAGCGCTACTTTCTACTGGTCGTTGACGACTACTCGTGTTACACCACAGTCTTCCCCTTGCGCCGCAAGGGTGAGGTCACTGAGGTGCTGATCGACTGGATCCGCAATGCTCGTCGTCAGCTCAGCGAGAGTTTCGGCTCGGACCTTCCTGTTCTGCGTCTGCACTCCGACAGAGGTGGAGAGTTTTCCTCCGACCTTCTGCGGGCCTTCTGTCATGCGGAGGGCATCCGCCAGACGTTCACGCTTCCGGCCTCTCCACAGCAAAATGGGATTGGTATGGTCATGGACGTTGCTCGTACGTCCATGATCCATGCGGCTGCTCCCCATTTTCTGTGGCCGTTCGCGGTTCAGTACGCGTCGCATCAGATCAACCTCCAGCCCCGGGTCTCCGTGCCGGAGACCACACCTACTCTGCGGTGGACGGGGAAGGTTGGCGATGCGTCTGCGTTCCGTGTCTGGGGATCTCGAGCTTTCGTCTGCGACTTGTCTGCGGACAAGCTGTCCTCCAGTGCTGTTCCCTGCGTCTTCCTTGGCTTCCCCCCTGACGCGCCTGGTTGGCAGTTTTACCACCCCACCTCGCGTCGTGTTCTGTCCTCTCAGGACGTCACGTTTGACGAGTCAGTTCCTTACTACCGTCTCTTCCCCTACCGCACTGCCCCCCTCCCCCCCCCCGCCGCTGTTCCTCGCGCCATGTCCTCCCCCGGTGTTATAGTCAGAATAGGCTTGAATGTGCCTAAAACGAAAGATAGAGAGCACAGACGGATTTCTGCACAGCGGCTTCAAACGTTGATAGCGTTCTGCTCAC